CCCTTTCACCCTGCTGCCCTTGCCTGGCGGCTGAGCCTCGGCCCGCTCCTCGGGGCCATGTGGTCCCGAATTGTGTCCCCCAGACACCCCAGCTGGGCACATCTCCCTGCAGGGGTTCACCCTGCCCGTGGCAGGCCAGCCGCAGTGTCAGCAGCCGCCCCAGCCCAGGAGGGTCCCCCGTGTCGTGCCTAGAGGTGTGAAGGGTAATGAGGCCCCGTAATTAAGGTTTCTGAAGACATGGCTGGGAGATTTATAGACAGGCTTTGTCAATAATTGTGCTACCGGCTGCAGATCCAGCGAGACATCGATAAGTGCTCGTTACAGCTCTCCCCGCTCCCTACCCTGCAGCCCCCGCCCCTCCTCAGCCATCGGCCTGCCTGTTCACGGCGTCTATGTACACAGGCTGCGCTCAATTAATTTGCACTTGTTGGCACCATCTGTTCTTTTCATGTGTCCTTATCTGGAGTGTGTCCTGCCTCCTGCTCAGATGTGACAGTGCAACCCTCCTCGTACATATAGGAGCTTCCTGGGCAGGCTCACATCTCCCCTCTCAGACGGGGCTCCTCAGGGTGAACTGTCTCCCCCCTCAGTCTAGGACCCCTGAAGGCAAGGCCAAGTGTTCCTCTTCATCTCCCCCACCCAACACCCACAACCTCTCTCCCTGCTGAGCCAAGCTTGGCCTGGGACCCTTACCGACCCTTCTGAGTCTGAGTCCACCAGGCAGGGACTCAGCCCTCCAAAGGAAGCTTCCAGACCCCAAACCAAACCAGACCCTGGAAGGCTGGCTACCTCTGGGTGCTGGAAGGCAGGGCATTGGTTCTGGTCCCAGCTCTGGCTCCCATCGCCTGAGCTGTGGCAGGTTCCTGCTCTGAGAACAGTGACACCTTTGTGTCACAGGGTGGGAAGGGGCTGAGAAGGCACTTGGAGGTCTCTGTGTCCCTTGAGCAGCATTGGTCAAGGGTGGTACAGGGGCAAGGCTTGGACAGCTCCTAGAGTGGGGGTGGGTCATGGCCTAGTGGCTCCAGGATGCCAGGGCAGGTGCCCCCCCCAGGTAACTGAGAAAAGGCAGCATCTCAAGGACACCTTCCCTTGGTTGTCTCCTCGCCCCAAGGTTTGGGGCAGCCAACATCCCAGCCCACTCTTCTCAGGGTCGTTCTCTCCTCCAGAAGGTCTCTCAGTCCCTTCCAGCCCAGCACAGATTTCTAACCCTGAGGGCTATGAGTGCTGAGCTGGCTCTGCCGCAGAAGTGCTAGACAACTTCTTACCCTCTCTGGGCTCTGGGTCCTGCGTAGCACATTGGATTTGTTTAGAAGGCAACCAGATCTTATTCTGGGAGGGTCTTTGGAAATTCACAAGCATGTCTGGTGCCAGCATCCAGGCCCAGCCCGGTCCACGTTGCCTGCCTATAACAGGCTGGACAGCTGGGCCTTAGACTTGCATCCCAGGTCCCATGACTGAGCTGTGCAGTCTCACCTCCTACCAGCCCCTCCTCCCCACATGTCCTGACTGTCTGCACCCCCACAGTGTGCCAGGCTGCTGTGCACCTCCACACCTGTGCTCCTGCTGTTCCCTGTGCTGGGACTGTGTCCCCTCCTTATGCCTGTATCACCTGACAAACTCCTACTCATCCTTCAAAACCCATCTCCAGCTCTGACATGCCCTCCAGTACACCCCTGCCTACAACCCGGCGTGAGGAGGGGCTGGCTGAGGCCCCCCACTGCTGCATTTGCCATACTGATTTATTATGCCACACGGCCTGCTGTCACATCAACCAGAATACAGGCTCCTTGGAGACAGAGACCCCAAGCCTTGGTCACATCTGTATCTCCCGTGCCCAGCACAGGGCCTGGCCAAGTGGGCCTGCCAAAGAGTGTCTCCTGAACTGGAAGGACCTCAGTCCCTGGCCTGGGTCAGGGAAAGGCAGGGCTCACATGTCCCCTAAAGATGGGAGGAGACACTCCTCTTGCCACCCTGGCTGCCCACCAATAGGATCATGGCGACCTCAAGGCAGACAGTGGATTCAGTTAGGGCCAAATGCAAACACACACTGCGGGGGTGGAGGGCACAGAGGAGGGGGCTTTAACCAAGCTCCCTGCCCACTCTCCCACTGCCAAGCCCCTCAGTCTAGACCCATCCCAGAGCCCCTCTGTGGGCATCACTGGCATCATGGTGAGTCCTTTCCTGCAGACAACTCTAAGCTGTGGTGGAGCACCTGGGCTGGGGATTTGGGGTGGGGGAAGGGTACAGTTCCCAGGCTCCACATGTATGTCAGGTCCAGCGGCACTCCTGCCAGGAGAGAGTTTTAGAAATGGAAATGGAGGGCTGTGTCCTTCAGCACAGGTGCCACCTCTGGGGGCTGGCATCTCTGGCTTCACTCGGCCCATGTACAGGGCACAGAGCCCCAGGTGCCCATGGGCCTCCTCCTAGGTGGCGGCAGAGGCCCACAGCTAGGCAGAGCCCAGAGCAGCCTGGCAGTGTGCCAAAGCAACGGCAAAAACCACCTCAGCCCCGGGAGCCTCCCCTCCCCTCCCCTCCCCTCCCCAACCCTCCCCTCCCCTCCCCAACCCTCCCCTCCCCTCCCCAGCCCCAGCATCCCCGCCCTCATGTGTCTGATGCAGTCATCTTATCTCGGGGAGTGAGGGCATTCAGGACAGCTCTCAGAATGTATGAGCCAGACCTGGAGCCTGCAGGGGTGGGGGGAGCAGAGCAGCCGTGGGGCTCCAGGAGATGGGGTGTGGGCTCAATGGAGGCCGTTGCAGGGGACCAGGGAGGCATCTGCACCTTCTGGTTAGGCCAGCTGCAAACTCGGGTGGGGGGGAGTTTGAAGCTTAGTAATTAGACAATTCACGTAGTAATTGTCTTGTGTGTTTCACCCAGTGATAAGGAGTGGGGAAGGGACAGGAGGTGGGGGCCCTTTAGCACCCATTTTATAGATGAAATGCCTGAGGCCAGGCAGGAGACCCTGGGGCCCATCTGGCTTCAAGGGGCAGGCTCAAGCCCCTCAAGGGTTCGGCTCCCCTACCTCTCAGCAGCCCACACTTGTTCCGTGTCCGGTGATGGGTCCCTGAGGGTCTGCTGGGGTGCCCCTCCGGCCTCCCGCCAGAGCAGGGCTGGAAGACAGCCATGTCTAGGGCCCGGCTGAGCTCAGTGCCTGCGTCTGCATAGTGCATTATTGATGGGGCTTCTAATTGTACGTTTCCCAAAGTCTACAGGCCTTTGATGAAAAATTCATGGCACACCCGAGGATGGGGGCGGACTCAATCGATTGGTACACAGCAGGCGGGGGAGGATGGGGCCCCTCGCAGGGAGTGGTGGTGAAGCCTGGTCTGGGAGGCTTCTTGCCCCAGGATCTTTGGGATAGCGGGGGGCACACACCCATTTTCCTGGTAGGGAGGCAGAGGGGCAGGAGCAGGAAGATCTAAGGCCCACATCTGGGTGCCAGCCGGTGGGTGACTGGTGCCATCCAGGGAGCATGATGACTCTGCCACCAGCCTCCCTTTCATTTCCCTGGAGGGGTGCTAGACCCTTCAGAGCCCCTTGTAAGAGTCACACAGAGGAGGGGGGTAATATTTCTGGAGCCACTCTTATATGGCAGGCACTGCGCTTGGAGCCGTATGCCCACAACCTCATTTAATCCCCAACAAGGATGAGGTGGGCACAGTGATGCACTCCATTTTACAGAGGAGGAAACAGGCTCAGAGAGGTTAAGTGACCTGTCCAAAGTCACACAGCTGCTTAGTAACAGAGCCCACTGTCCTTCCACTTCACCAGGCCCACTCAAATAAGAACTAATAGGACTATGGGGATTGTCTTGTACAACTCTCCTGCCTGTCCCTATTGTTCAGAGGAAGAGACTCCATTCAGAAAAAGTGGATTAAATGAAACTTGAGGCCTGCAACACTGACAGAGGCCAGAGGCCCCCACCCCGTGCAGAGTGCTGAGCTAGGTGCCCAGCAGTAGGGGTGGAGATCTTGAAGCTGGTAGAGGTGCCTGTCTTGGCCTGTCCAGTCAGAGATTATTATGGTGCCACCACTGAGGCCCCAAAGAATACTTTCATTCATTCATTCATCCATTCAACAAGTAAACAAATATTTATGAAGTCCCAGTGCTGGTTAGCATCTTGCTAGGTCCAGATGGAGGGCCCTGTCATGAAAGTCCTTGGGACCAAGCTTGTCTGGGACAGACAGGCTGAACCCAGTTCAGCTGGGGAAAGGCAGGCAGGCCCCTCCATGCCTGAGGCGGGTGTCTCTACAACACAGGCTGAAGACATTTCTATCAGACGTTCTGCCGTCGTGACCAAGGCCGTTTCTAGGTGGCAGGCGGGCTTGTTTGGGTTTGTTTTTTCTTTGCTTCCCAGTGAGTTTCTTTCAAAAACATCCACCCATGTCTCTGCTGAACTAAAAAGAAAGGAATGTGTGCAGAGCATCAGGAAAGCAGACAGGGGAAGGCCCCAGGGGCCCGGCGTGGGGCCCTAAGCCACACTGCAGCTTCGGGGAGGTGGGTTGCTGCCGTGTGTGGGGGGGCTCCTGAGGGGACAAGGGGGAATCGGGGAGCAGAGAGAGTAAACAGGAGTGGGAGGAGGAGACTCAGGGACAGAGGGTGGGGCTCAGTGGGAGAGAAAGGAGGGACAGGGTATGGGGGTAACCAGGAGGCAGGGAAAGCAGAGAAGAGATGGGGGAGCTGAAGGGGGAGGCAGGGATCAAGATGTCGCCAAGGGCAGGTGAGGGAGGAAGGGTACTGAGTCTGGGCCAGGGGAGTCAGAAGGCCGGAACCCTGAAGGGCCCCACAGCCCTCAGTGGCCCTGCTGTCTCCCTGCAGTTCTATGGCCAAGGAGTGAATCTTGCGTGATTTCAGCTGCCCCCACCAGGCACCCCTCCTCCCCGGAACAAAAGGGAAGTAGCCCCATGGGCCTGCCTGCTTCCAGCTCAGGGCTGGGCTCCGTCACCGGCAGGCACTTGTTGTGGCAACAGTCCCTGGGGACCCATCCTGGGGAACAGGACTGCCAGCGGTAAAGATGATGGAGCCAGGGCCCCCACCCCCTCCAGCCCCCACGGCTGCTGCAGGCCTCGGTGACAGCCTGTCTGTAAGTCGCCCCCACACCCCTGGTTCTGGAGGATGGGTTGGCTCCCTAGCAGCAGGTGTGTTGGGGTGTGTTGCCCAGCAACCAGTAGAGGTGTTCCCAGAGCGTCTACACGTGGGAGGCAGGGCGGAGAGGACCAGGGCATTGGCCCTTAGATGCCCATGGTCACAGGAATCTTTTGCAGGGCCCCCAGCTCCAGCCTAGGCCACCTGAGCCCACACAGTCACCCAGAGAGGGAGAAGAGAAGGGCTTTTGGGAAAATCCCTTAAAGTGGCCATTGTCTCCTGCTAGCCTGGGGCCTACCTCTGGCATCTTGGAGGTCCAGCCTCGGATCCTAGAAAGTGACTGAGCCTGGGCTAGCCTGGGAAGCCTTGCTGGTAGTGCATGTGCGGTGCAGAGCTGCGAGGAAGAGTGGGTGTGGCAGATGGGGCATGCAGTGGAAGCAGCGGCCCAGGCCAGGGGGCTGGGGCCGTCCGGGCGAGTGCTAGCCTTTCTGGTTTGGGCCCCAGTTGCCAAAGCATTTCTTCTTCCCCTATGGCAAGAATCCCGGAGGACAACCCCAGCAAGGATCATTCCCCAACGGGTACAGATGAGCAGGCACAGAGTGGGCAAGGGCCTCGCTTCGGGTCATTCAACAGCTGTGGGCGGAGGCTGGATTAGAACCCAAGGTTCTGGGTTCCAGCCAGGGCCCTTCCCCCTCCCCACTCTGAGGCAGCCAAGCTCTAACCAGGGAGGATTCTGGCAGGAGGTGACCAGTGGGGAAGGGTTCTTTGTGGAAGAGCAAGCAGGGCCTGTGAGACCAGGGCTGGGATCTGCCCCTCACCACCACCTGAATGCCCAGCCCTGTACTTCCCTGGGCTGAGAGCAAGGGCTGGCCCCAGTCTGGCACCAGCAGAGGCTGGACTCTGGCCCAATACCCAAGGAGTAGTGATTAATGGCCTGTCTTGGGATAGCCTGGGGGTCTTCCTGGAGGAGGAGGGCCCAGAATGGAGCCTGAAGGGTCTGGCAGGGTTCAGGAAAGCCTGGGAGGGGAAGCCAGCATCTTCCAGGAAGCCCAGCCCCCACTCCAGCCTAGCCGGGCTCCATTGTCCCGGCCAAGCCCAATTAGCACCCGGCTCCTGCAGGGGCCAATTAGACAGGGGCTGAGGTCAGCTGCCCACAGAGGCCCTGCCACCCCTCCAAGCTTCCCCAAGCACAAAAGCTTTCTACACACCGTCTCTGCTGCAGCAGGAAGTGAAAGAAAGAACAGAAGAAAGGGAAAATTCACTCCTTTTGTTTCTTTGCCATAACCTTGGCCTGAACAAAGAAGCAACTGCCTCCCCTCCCCGGGAGGGCAGCTTCTGTGGAGCAGGGAATCTGTTTTAAACAGCAATTTGCACAGATTTGTTGTGGTTGGGAGGTCCAGATGACATTCGAGGGGAACCAGGAGCAGAGACCTGGGTGAGCAGGGCCCTGGTTCTAGAACCTTCCGTGACTCCCCACTGCCCTCTGTCCAGAAGCAGAGCTCCCGGGCCTGGCTGATGCAAACAGGTGAGCCCGCTCTAGCTCTCTAGCCAGACAGACCTGGGTACTTTACTGCCTCCAAACAGCCCAGCCCACATGGGCCTCCACACCTTCCCTCGGTGGTCCCCACCTCTCAGATCCCACCCAATCCAGTCAAATGTCACCTGCACCTCAGAGGCCCAGCTCTACCCTCCCCTGCAGGATCCCCTCCCCAACCCCATCCCTGGCCTTGACTTGCACTCCTAGGGTGTGAGCCGTGTCCCACGCAAGGCCTCCCTCCCACTGGGAACTCTCTGAGTGCAGGGGTCTCCCCACCCCCAACAGAGCTGAGCTTACGGGTGCAAACAGCAGCTGCCAGGCCCTGCTGGGGAGCAGGTGGAAGGAAGATATATGCCAAACAGAGCCCAGAAGGGGGCTTGGGAAGCTGGGGCCACTCTAGAGTGGTGGCAGATGAAGAAGGGGACCCATAGTGCCACTGCCTCCTCCAGGCTCCCACCCACAGGGTAATGCCCCATCGCACAGACCACCCTGCCCCCGCCTCCCTAACCCTACGCTCTGTGTCTCGGGAGCTCAGCCTCTCCCGCTGTGCTGTGTATGCCCTGGCCGCCTCGATATCCCCGCCCAGCCAATGAGGCTCTCAGTCCTCCCTCGCCTGCCCTCTGGTGGTGATGAGGTTCCAAAGTGAATGGAGGGAAAGAAAGAGGCTTTTCTCACCGCCAATGGGTTCTATTGTCCCTCAGTGGGCGGGAAGGGAGCTTGGCTGGGTGGGCAGTGGCAAAGAACTGAGAGGCCAGGGACCCAGTGGCATTGGCCTGTGTGTTTCTAGGAGTAAGGGGACTTCTTAGCCATGGTGAGCCCCGACCCCTGGGAAAACACTAGTCTCTTTCAGCAGATTTGCAGACACAAGCTCCATCCTCCCCGACTCGTCCCTGAGACAGCCCCACAGAGACTGGGCCCTTGCTCCCTGGTCTCTGGAACTGGAGGAGGCCAGCACCAATTTGCAAGCTGAATTTTCCACTGTATTTTAAAGAAATGTGGTTATTTCCCTTTATTTTATTTATTTATTTATTTATTTTTGAGATGGAGTCTTGCTCTGTTGCCCAGGCTGGAGTGCGTGGCACAATCTCGGCTCACTGCAACCTCTGTCCGTCTGCCTCCCCAGTTCAAGCGATTCTCCCACCTCATCCTCCCAAGTAGCTGGGACTACAGGCACCCACCACCATGCCCCGCTAATTTTTGCATTTTTAGTAGAGATAGGGTTTCACCATGTTGGCCAGGCTGGTCTTGAACACCCGACCTCAGGTGATCCGCCTGTCTTGGCCTCCCAAAGTGCTGGGATTACAGGCATGAGCCATCATGCCCAGCCTAATTTTTGTATTTTTAGCACACAGAGGGTTTTATCATGTTAGCCAGGCTGGTCTTGAACTCCTGACCTCAAGTGATCCGTTGGACTTAGCTCCCAAAGTGCTGGGATTACAGGCATGAGCCACCACACTCAGCCAAGAAATGTGGTTAATTCCCTTTAAAAATATTGGAAAATTTAGATTGGCCAAGACAGGCCTCTCTGACATTCCAAGGAGATCTGTGGGAGTTCTGTTCTGGCAAATGATGGCAAATCTGGCAGGAGCAGGGTCTTCGTCAAAGGATTTGCCCAAGTAAGTCAGGGAGGCAGGAAGGCCCTTCCCTGCCATCAAGGTCTTCAGGAGCTGAAGGAGGAGCATGTGGGTGGCCCTTAGCAGATGGGGGCTGCCAGGTTGCTGTGGGCCAGGGGCGGCTTCTGGGCAGAGGCAGGGAAGGCTTTGAAGACAGAAAGGGGCCCAGGAGGCTGGGTCCATGGGTGGAGTGGCCACAGCTAAATTCTGAAAGGGGGTCTAGCTGTGCTGGGAGAGATGGAAATTCAAAGCTGGAAATTTATCATGAGGGTCAATGGGAGCCACTGGAGGTGTCTGGAGCCAGGGAGGATGTTACAGTTACCTACCATGACAGCAAACGACCCTGAAATGCTATCGTTTAAAACGCAGTGTTTTATTATCACACCTCATAGCTCTGTGGGTCAGGAACTCAGCCACAGCACAGCAGGTCCGAGTCCTCAGCCGGACGACCTACGGGCAAGGGCAGGAGCAGCTGGGGCTGGGTGGGCCTCCATCTCTCCTATACACTTAGTTTGGGCTTCCTCACAGCCTCAGGGCAGCAAGAAATTAGCAGTTATCAGGGAAGAATGGAGGTTACTGCAAGATGGGTCTCGTCCCCAGCCCCTGTCGCCACCGCTCAGCCCCAGCACTGGAGCCGGACCAGGACAGAGGCCCCAGCCTAGGTTCAAGATTGACTGAGTGCCTTCGGGCAAGTCCCTGCACCTCTCTGGCCCCAATATCAGAACTTCTGAGATGGGGATTCCAGGGCTAGAGGTCTTGGAAGGCTGGCCGGACCGCCCGGAGGAAAAGCATGGGCTCCTGGAATTGGGGAGCGAGACAGCCCCGAGCATACCTTCCCCATGACCTGAGTCTCCGGCGCTCAGGCTGGCCTCATCCCACCACCGGTTGAAGCTGCGCGTCTCTGGGAGGCTGCTGCCCTCTGCCGGCTGCAAAGGCAAACCACGTGCAGGTGGCCTGGGCCTGCCAGAGATGGAACCTGGGGGTCCAGGGAACCCTGAGATTGGGTGGTTGCCCAGGGAAGGGGACAAAGGAGAGGGTGTGTGCCTGGTCCCACAGACCCATCTTCTGCACCCACTCCAACACTAGTCAGACTGCCACCCACACTGCCTCAGACCCAGCAACCTGTCTCAGGCCTCCTTCCCTGGGAGAGTGAAGCCCCTCCCCACTCCTACCCCTGCTCCAGCCCAGGCCTCCCCTATGCACCCCTCCCTCTTACCTTCGAATTCTCCAGGAAATCCTCTCTCTCCACCCGTGCCTCTCCTTGATCCTGTGTTCCGAGGTACCTTTGACCCTTCTCAACCTCACTGTCCCCTCAGGCCTCCACAGCACCCAGCGTTCAAAGCACTGACCAAGGTCACCTCCTCCAGGCCACACCTAGAGGCTCCCTCTGTAGATCTGGAAGCTGTTGAACCTTCTCTCCTTTTTCCAAATATCTTTTAAACTGTGAAATATAATCCATGTGAAAAATTGCATTGAACGTATAGAATGTCATTGTTATAAATTGTTATATAGCAAATGTCCATGAAACCACCCCCCAGGATAGGAAACAGTATCGTCAGTATCATCAGTCTCCTCACGCCCCTGTGCCCCTCCCAGCCACATCCCTCCACTCCCGAATGTGATCACTCTGCCAGCTTTCTGTCCTCGCTTTGCTTCTTTATTTTCATTTATGCATCTATTTATATTGAGACAACGTCTCACTCTGTTGCCCAAACTGGAATTCAGTGGCATGATCTCTGCTCACTGCAACCTCTGACTCCCAGGTTCAAGTGATTCTCAGGCCTCAGCCTCCCAAGTAGCTGGGATTACAGGCACACGCCACCACACCTGGCTAATTTTTGGGGTTTT